CCTGCCACAACATCTCAATTGGGATTAGGTCTGGACTTTGACTAGGCCATTCCAAAACTTCCAATTTGTTTCTTTTTAGCAATTTTCATGTAGACTTGATTGTGTGTTTTGGATCATTATCTTGCTGCATTACCCAGCTGCGCTTCCAGCTTCACCTCACAGATGGATGGTCTGACATTCTCCTGTAGAATTATCTGATACAGAGCAGAATTCATGGTTCCTTCTATTAAGGCAAGTCGTCCAGGTCCTGAGGCAGCAAAGCATCCCCAAACCATCACACCACCACCACTATGCTTGACCTTAGGTATGATGTTCTTACTGTGGAATGCAGTGTTTGGTTTTCGCCAGGTATAATGGGACCCATCTCGTCCAAAACGTTGACTCAAGTTAGCCAAAAAGCACCTGGATGATCATCAACTCTTGAAAGAATGTTCTATGGACAGATAATTCAAAAGTATAACTTTTTGGACGACATGGTTCCAGTAATGCCTGGCGAAAACCAAACTCTTATCAAGATAAGTTCCAATGCTTGTCTGAAAGCCGCACAATGACGCTGTCCCAATCAAAACGGTGCTGGAATTATCAGTTGACCACACATGGCAATTGCTTTACATGTATTATACCCAGTGGTATAGTGCTATTTTTCTAGGTAGCCTACCAGAGCACCATTTTTTAAATTATTATTAAGCCATCATTTCTGAATGAAAGTTGGTACCAACATAAAGCCTATTGTGTAAAATCATGTTAGAATGTACAGACAATGCATCATCCAAATTGCATGATTGCCTTTGCCTACACAGAGTGTAAGTGGCTAAAGGAAAATGTTCTAGTTTTAAAATCCTGAAACACCAAATTGGGCCTACCTTACTATAAATTAGGCCATCATCACTGTCAATCGTGAATTATAATTCCTTACGTTTTACAGGTGAAACGCCCATGCTGCATGCATGCCAACCTTTTGATCCCAATCAGTTACATGGGAATGTGCATTTCAGTAAGGGTGGCTAACCCGCCAAACTAATAGAATTTTAAAGCAGATAGAGTTAAACACAGCCACCGCATGAGAAAATAAATGCAACATTTCAGCACAATCATCCTAAATTGTCATAACAAATTATATGGGGTTTTTGGTATATCATTAGCCTGACATCATGTTATTATATTCGGTTTGTTATGTAGAATACTTATTAATCATTAAGTGATCTTGTGAGACATAGTAACATTCTGAGAAATGGCGGAGCGTCGCTCTGCTGCGCACCGGCAGCACTACACCCCTGATTATAACGGTTGGATGACTTCGGGAGTTTCACATAACCACAGCTCTATGAACTATACAAGTTGCGCATTCAGTCCACACATTTATATATATATATATATTTTTTTTTACACCATTACACAATTGCAGCAGGTCCTGGTGACGTCCATGATTTCACCTTCCTTTCAACATTGTTTATATTCCCCCTATGACTGTAACCTACATCCCTCGTTGCATGGTGTGATCTGATCATTACAGCAAAATATATATACTGAAATGAGAGCGAAAGACTAGATTGTAGATTGTAACGTCCACTTCATAGAATGACACATGTGGGCTAAAAAGCAAATGTATGTAACAAACGTTTCACTAGATTGTAACTTTCCTACAGTAGCCAGCTGACAGTGAACATATTCTTGTAAATTAATGTATGTTGCAAATATAATAGATGCATGCATCTATCGAAATGCGATTTATGCTCACTGTACAAGTTTTCATTGGGGTACATGAAATATGTTATTATTACATTTATTATTAGCCCACATTTACATTTTCAAATCGGTAGAATAATGACAATAGTTTACAATGCAGGGGATTTTGTTTTCAAGCCAGGGAAAAATTGCCTTCCTCGAGCAAGAGAATGTAGGCTAATTTTATAAAATGGAAAAGTATTCTTATAGCCTATGTTTGTATCAAATACCCTTGCATCAAATACTCTTTAAAGTTGTGTATTGATTATACAGTACATACAGTGAGGGAAAAAAGTATTTGATCCCCTGCTGATTGTGTACGTTTGCCCACTGACAAAGAAATGATCAGTCTATAATTTTAATGGTAGATTTATTTGAACAGTGAGAGACAGAATAACAACAAATGTCTTTGTCAGTGGGCAAACGTACACAATCAGCAGGGGATGTTATAAATTGATTTGCATTTAAATTAGGGAAATAAGTATTTGACCCCTCTGCAAAACATTACTTAGTACTTGGTGGTAAAACCCTTGTTCGCAATCACAGAGGTCAGACGTTTCTTGTAGTTGGCCACCAGGTTTGCACACATCTCAGGAGGATTTTGTCCCACTCCTCTTTGCAGATCTTCTCCAAGTCATTAAGGTTTCGAGGCTGACGTTTGGCAACTCAAACCTTCAGCTCCCTCCACAGATTTTCTATGGGATTAAGGTCTGGAGACTGGCTAGGCCACTCCAGGACCTTAATGTGCTTCTTCTTGAGCCACTCCTTTGTTGCCTTGGCCGTGTGTTTTGGGTAATTGTCATGCTGGAATACCCATCCACGACCCATTTTCAATGCCCTGGCTGAGGGAAGGAGGTTCTCACCCAAGATTTGACGGTACATGGCCCCGTCCATCGTCCCTTTGATGAGGTGAAGTTGTCCTGTCCCCTTAGCAGAAAAACACCCCCAAAGCATAATGTTTCCACCTCCATGTTTGACGGTGGGGATGGTGTTCTTGGGGTCAAAGGCAGCATTCCTCCTCCTCCAAACACGGCGAGTTGAGTTGATGCCAAAGAGCTCCATTTTGGTCTCATCTGACCACAACACTTTCACCCAGTTCTCCTCTGAATCATTCAGATGTTCATTGGCAAACTTTAGACGGGCATGTATATGTGCTTTCTTGAGCAGGGGGACCTTGCGGGCGCTGCAGGATTTCAGTCCTTCACGGCGTAGTGTGTTACCAATTGTTTTCTTGGTGACTATGGTCCCAGCTGCCTTGAGATCATTGACAAGATCCTCCCGTGTAGTTCTGGGCTGATTCCTCACCGTTCTCATGATCATTGCAACTCCACGAGGTGAGATCTTGCATGGAGCCCCAGGCCGAGGGAGATTGACAGTTATTTTGTGTTTCTTCCATTTGCGAATAATCGCACCAACTGTTGTCACCTTCTCACCAAGCTGCTTGGCGATGGTCTTGTAGCCCATTCCAGCCTTGTGTATGTCTACAATCTTGTCCCTGACATCCTTGGAGAGCTCTTTGGTCTTGGCCATGGTGGAGAGTTTGGAATCTGATTGATTGATTGCTTCTGTGGACAGGTGTCTTTTATACTTGTAACAAACTGAGGTTAGGAGCACTCCCTTTAAGAGTGTGCTCCTAATCTCAGCTCGTTACCTGTATAAAAGACACCTGGGAGCCAGAAATCTTTCTGATTGAGAGGGGGTCAAATACTTATTTCCCTCATTAAAATGCTAATCAATTTATAACATTTTTGACATGCATTTTTCTGGATTTTGTTGTTGTTATTCTGTCTCTCACTGTTCAAATAAACCTACCATTAAAATTATAGACTGATCATTTCTTTGTCAGTGGGCAAACGTACAAAATCAGCAGGGGATCAAATACTTTTTTCCCTCACTGTAGCATACTTGATGAATGATGATCACTGCAATCAACAGCTGCAGTGTTGTAATTGGATTAACCCATATCATGGAATAGGCTATGTGAACGTTTATAAAGACAAAAGGCAGACACATGGAGTTATTTGATTTGGATGGATGGTTGACATGACAGAAAGGTAGGCAAATATTTTCTTATCTAAAATGTGGGTGAAACTTTGCTTCAGTATATATTACGTGTTATGATGTAATTTCATAGTGTTGTGTGAACCAGGTTAAAGTTAGTAGATAAGTGACTTTGCGCCGCACAGTCTGAATACCAAGGATTCCATTATGTCAAGGGAGCTTAGTGGTGGTTTATCTTAGAATGATTGATAGATATGATATACTGACTTGGGTTACAGGGTAATACCATCAAAGAAGGGAGTGCCAAATGATGGTTAACAGATGTTGTTCAAGAAACGTGGAACAGAGGGTATATAAACTGAGAGGTTTTCTTTGTCTAGTAGTTCGAATGGCAAGAGGCAAAGCACTGTCCTTTTGTTAGAGCGAACCATGGTACCTATTAGATATTTGAATGAACTCTAAGTGTTAAATATCCTCTTGCATCATGAATTACTTGATACCTGAGAAACTCATCATAACATTATGCGAGCTGGTTATGTGTCTTGTTTCACGCACGGGACTCGAGCCTGGTTAAAACCTTATAGCCTATTGCGCAATATATTCCAAAATTCGAATAAAATACACCCGTGAAAATCATTTAGGAGATAAAGGTTATGAGGACAGTGTTTTGTTTTATAATGTATTTGTGTGGCTACAATGCCATCTTTAGAGCACAGCATTTTCTGCTTGGTTTCCAGAGCATTGAAAGATAGACATTAAATGGGCTACTACCGAGGTCTGATGATGCTTCTGACAATATAGTAAAAGGCGTGTTGAGTTGGGTCTGGTGATGTGCTAAAGTCTTATGTAGGCTATTTTGAAAACTGCCGGTGTGTTGTGTTTATGAGGAGCCCCCTCCTGCATGTGTTGTTGCATGAGCTGGCTGTTTTCTCCTCCTTGCGTGGCAGAGATCTCAGAAAAGTTAAAATTGTGAACCCGCGACCCAAATGTATCACATAAAATGTATATGCCATATCTCAAAATCGATTAGACTTCCCCAATTGAGTGTTTTTGCTGTGACAGAACATTTATATTTTTCGTAGATTTGCGTTCTATCCTAGTGCTGTGACATAGCTCTCGCTCTATCTCTACCTCGCTCTCTCTTAATGAGAGGGTTGCGCACTTTGACAGACAGTCCAACAACGACTCAGAAGGGTTTAGGGACATAGACACGAATTTGCTGTTATTCCCCTTTAAGACTATATACAGTAATACAGACATGTTTAGGCCTACATCTAGACCTAGAGTGTAGTGTATGACAACATTGTACAAATCTTATGGGCTTGATAAAAGTATGAAAATCAGCTATATGCTGTACCTGGATCAGTTTTCCCAGAGTGGTGTCTATACAGCGGATACTGTACTTCCAGTTCTTACTGCTCTTCTTCCCCCCAAACTCCTCAAAGCCACTTGGGGTGAACCAGAGACCCTGGACCACAATGCAACTCTCCCCTGAGACAGACCAATGAGGAAGTCAGACATCATACACACTAGGGTTTCATATTTTTCCTAAAATTCTTTGTGGAGGGATAGGATTCTGCCAAGAACTGTTTTCATCTGATTAACCCTTTTTGGAAGATGAGGGTTCTTTGTAAGTGAAAGGGTTCTTTCTACCTAGACCCTTCTTCATCATAAGAACCGTACTGGAACAAATGGTTATTTTATGATTATTTGGAAGGCAAGAAGGATTCTTTGGAAGGTAAGAAGGGTTCTAAATAGAAGTTTTATAGTACGTGAAATTTCGAAAATCGAGTATGCTTTAAATGCCAGGATGTTAAACTCATTTCGGCTTTTCATTTTGTAGAATTCGCTGCACACTTTTGAGGAATAGAATCGACTTTCTAGACTGATTATCGGACTGTACCCAAATGAACGAATGGTGGGAATTAATGCAATTGCGCATTAGATGACGCATTCTCAGGATGGGTGAGCCTAGTATGTTGATATTTGTAACTTACTGCATTCATTTTTACTAAACAGTTCGTTCTAAATAGTATGTAGCACGAATAGTACACAGTATATAGTTTTAGTAAGTAGTAGGCAAAACAGATTTCGGACACAGCCAGGGTGAACCAGCAGTGTATTATATGGTACATAGCAAATTGGCCAGTGTTACCTAGTGTTTTTCAGTGTAACATTTATAGTGTTGATTCAGGAGTTAAATGAACACTCAGTGACTCAGTGGTATAATAGAACCCCAGTGTTGGTGTTAAGTTTTTAGGCAAGGTTATTCGGGCCGAACCACATCCACCATTACACACAAACACAAAGAATCACATCATATTAAGTCAATTTTTACCACCCACCTTTGGCCAGCTTGTCCCTGTTGAGCATGCCCTCTTTGTCCCCACAGGTGACCGGGAGCTCCACCGGGGTCACCCAGCGCTGCGCCGTATGGGTACTCTTCCCACACGTCCCTAGAGCACAGAGAAAGACAGAGGTCAAAACCCTCTATGGAAAGGAACATGGACCTAAAAAGGGGTCTTCAAAGAGTTTTCCTATGAGAACAGCCAAATAACCCTTTCAGGTTCTAGGTTAAAAAAAAATCCTAAGCGTGTAGTATATACCCAATTTAGCGCACTACTTTTGATCAGAGTCTCATAGTGTATAAGGTATTATTTTAAAGGTAGACAGAGTGTTCCCAGTACCTCCAATCGTTTCTGACACATCGTGAAAGCTATAGGATTTTATGATGTTTATCACATGTACAGTAGTTGAGAAAATTAACATATAAGAAAAGCGATGCCAGTAATACTATTACTGCAATAATGAATTAGGAGAATAAGTTAATTACTGACACAAAGGCTATTAATGAGGTTTTCTATGATTTTTACAGGAGTCTATACCAGTCAGAGGATAACTCGGTGGAGGCAGATTATAATATCTTTTTTTGGTACGTTAGAGTTGCCTAAAATTTCCACAGAACAAGCTGATGGTATAGATGCCCCCATTTCAGAGGTGGAGGGTAGAAAGGCTATTACCCAGCTAAGTGATGGAAAATGTTTTGGTAATAATAATGTATTACTTTTTTGTTTTTGCTCTTTCTGATTGGGTGGTTCTGGCAGAGCCATAAAGTCCGGAATTTTGAATTTTGTGAAAAACACTTAAAACGAGACTCCTCTGGTACAGACTGACCGATCTGCACAAAACTTGATATATGGCATCTATGGACCAAGATCTCTCAACACAATATTTTTCAGGCTAGCATCTCAAACAACATGGATGCTACTGACCAACAAACATTAATGTGGGCGTGGTCTGGCACATAAGTGCATATAAATCAGATGCGTATATTCGTATTGTAACAAAACTTGGTACACGTGTTCCAAACACTGTCAAGACTCAACATATGCAAGCACATTCAGATCGACCACATGGTGGCACTATAACAGGCACATGTTTGCATCTCTTGATCTTTTTGACACAGAGTGATGGAATTTGGCACACATACTCAGGGATATGAGTCTAGCTAACCTGTAAAGTATGGTTCAGTTTGGCTGCATGGTGGCGCTGTTGGACAGGAAAAAACATTCATGCAAGCTCATTGGCTCAAAGTGGCCATATTGTTTCAGCTAGAGTCTTTGAAAATACTGCTTTATACCAGCAATATAGATGCTACAGTATATACCAAATTTGATGCCGATTGGTCCAGTAGTTCTGGAGAAGAAGACGTTTAAAGCAGTCAACATGATTAAAAATTGTCCAAAATACATCGAAAGCATATTGCATAATCAGTTTGATTTTGAGTTTTGATATATGGCAAGCGTGTCCTCTTTATCCTGATGGTGGCACAGTGGGCCCACAGCTAAACCCCGGCATTGCTGCTTGCAGCTGTATTGTATGTTTGAAGTTACAGAGGGACTTTAGACTTTCCAACTCAAGGCCTCCTCCTTCCCCCCAGAGAGTGTAAAGCCTGGGACTCACAGTAGGGTGGCCTCTGGACTTTCCTCTTCTGACTGGGGGTGGACTGTGTGGACGTGCTGGGCTGCTCCTCCTTCTTAGCACTCTCACTTATCTTCTGTTTCCTCTTTTTCTTTCCTGTCTTCTTTTCCTCCTCCCCCTCCTCCTTCTCTTCTCCCTCCCCCGGGGCCTTCCTCTTCTTTTCCTTCTCCTCTTTCTCCTCTTCCTCCTTCTCTTCTTTCTCCAAGTTCTGTGGCAGTTTCGCATACAATCTGGATGACCCTGGGATTGGATGCAGAATGAATCAAACATGTTCATATTAGAGTTATAGGCTGGGACCATCATATGGACCTCATAAATCGAATGCATTTCAAGTATTCAAGTATTCAAGTATTCAAGTAACCTCAAACCATAATATTAGTAGTAGTAACAGTCACAGTGACACCCCTTGTGACTTGTACGACAAACCAAAATACTACCAGATAGTACCAGAGAAATAATAATAATAATACTACCAGAGATCAAAGACCCACTGACCGTCCAGCAGGCTGTTTCGTAGCAGGCGTAGCGTGGGGTACTGCTGAAGGAGGTGGTCCCTGAATACACAGCTCCAGAACAGCTTGATGCTGTGAGGCCTCTCTGCCTCCAGCCAGTCCATCACCTTGTACACGCCCTTCCCAGTGAGCCAAATTCAATTGAAAAGACGTCTATCAGCTAACCACATCATATGTTATAGCATTCTGGTGCCAGACATCACAGTTGATGACGTGGCATGCAACCATTGGTTGATGCATGCAACGTCTGAGCAGGGGAACACAACCCAAATTGGGTCGGTCCGGACCAGACATCGGATGCTGTCTGGACAAAAGGAGTATGGCATTTCTGGCCAGACAGCATCAGACACATGGGTTACATATAGTAAAATAGAGGGGCGCTGTTTCGCTCGCTAGATTCAGCAGAGAGGAAGAGGCGATGCGAGAGGGCTCACTCTCGCCAAAATCTGCCCTGAATAAGTCCTATGCGTATGGGCATAAGCAGACCTAAGCTTGTCGCCTGCATTCCCGCCTTTGTGACAACGACTTAGGGTGGAGACATGAGCATATACAGAGCAACTTGCATGATTATATTTCAGCCACTTGCAAATTAGAAAGGAAAGTTGGTGAGTGCACAGTACACTGTTCGGATGCTTCCCCTAATTACTCCTGTCTAAATAAAATCATTCAAAATACTTTACCAGAGAGCTTGACTTAGCCACAGAGGATCATTATCTTATTTTTTTAATGCTGTGGATAGGCCTATTTGGGAAGCCAGCAATTTGGGCAGCACGCATGGCAATAGGCCTAGTTGATTATTGTGTTGCGGCTGTCAGTGAAAAGCATCTCAAATGTGTGAAGATAATGTGTCTTGAGTTTAATTTAAAATGTTTAGACAAGAAGAAGGGGAGGGGTGTGTGGCGAAGATATGGGCGTCTCTCTCCAAAATGCATGCACTCAGCTCTCCAGAATGTGTTCCGCTGTCTCCCGCCAATTCTTGCACATTTATTGTTTCATTGCCCTTTGATTGTTTATTTGGATCAATTCTCCATTACATATGTAACCAGTAGGCATAGTAAATGTACCGTTAATCCCCGTCATTTCATTTGGTTACATTCATTTATTTTAACGCATGTATTACAGTCATTTACCTTTCTCATTCTCGGAGTGGAAACGTTGTTTGCAGAGTTCACAGCCTTCTACACTTGTGAGAAACATGTTTTGGTTTACTTCATAACCATCATTTAAGAGTTTTATCAATTTTTTTCATTGTCTTTTGTTTGGAGTGCTCCATGTGAGCAATGAGCACCTGTGTGGTTTCTCTGTCCTGATAACTTTGAGAGATTGTGTGAGCCTGAGCACGCCAACCTGCTGAGTTGATACAATGTGGCATAGTGATAGCTCAAGTCAAGACAGAGAGAAAGGGAGGCAGACAGGCGGAGTATCGTGATTAATGCAATTGAAAGAACCTGCATTTTCATCCGGATATTTTCTACAGTTTTAATTTTTTCGGCTTTAGGCCTATGTATTTTACTAAGTTGACAATGGAAGTTATAGGCCTACTGCTGCATTGGCCTATAGCCTAGGCTATCTCTGAGTTCCATGTGCTAATTTCTTTAGCCGCAAATGGATCAAGGTGTATCAATGTGTCCATAAGGCAAAGGTGGGTGCTCTTGCATTATATTTTTTTGATTAACCATTTGACAATAATTTTGAGAAACGAAAACGTTATTATTGAAATTAAACTGTTCCAGGAAAATTTGCATTTAAAGTTATCATAATTGGCACACAGATACTGTAGGTAGAAATGGTAGGCTAAATTGTAAGCTTCCCCAAACTTGAAACTCATGAGCTGCCTATGGTCTTTATTATAACACCCATTAACACAATTCGTGCACAAATAAACGGGCCTGCCTATAGAAATCTGTCCAACTGATTCGTCCTGGCACTGGCCTGCGTATGACTCCTATGAGAAAGCGTTGGAATTCACAGACACGGATAAAATCAACGTGCCAGTTTGGCCGCGCCTATGGTCCAATATGTTTTTTTATTTTATTTTTAACTGAGGGTGGAGTGGAGTGATAGACTTTATTCTCTAGAAGAAACTACCATCTCAATTATCAGTTCACATGACAGACATAAATATATATACATACGTCAGGTATTACTTATCAATGATTATCAACTCCAATTTCTACTTTTACAACATTCAGAGAGACCTGTAATTTCTATTGTTTCTAAATAGGAGAATGAATGTTACCAAAGATTTTCTCTACAATTTGTTATGTTACCGCTGAATGGTTAAACGTTGAGTGGGCGGCTGTGTCTACTGCTCTCACCTTGTACATTTCCTCCGGAATGAGGTGGTGGTCTCGGACATGATTAAGGAAGGCCTCTGGTTGCTCCATGCATGACATCTCTGTTCTACTACAGCGGAAAAACCGCAGTAACTGCTCATCCGTCAGAAAATCCAAAGTGCCCATTGCAGTTTACCTGATCAGGTCACTTCCTTAACAGTTTATTAATACACGAACTTCATATTGTGCTGTACATATATATAGACTCTTAAATTCACGTTTGATTGACATAATGTAGGCTATTTACATTTTAATACAGGCCTGGGGTGGATTGATTCATTCAGATGATAGACAGAAATCAAGCCGAAAATAGACAATATCCCGTTATCGCGGATAAACCAGATCTCCCGCCTTCATGGAAGTCCACTTCAAATGACGTTTAGAAAGTGAAAGTGTCCACACTATGTAATACATATTAGGAACATAATTATTATATTTTTTGGGGGGGGGGGGGGGGGGGGGTACAGTGCCCCTGTGACAACAAGCTTGGACCCCCTTGTGGCCCCCCAAAATGCGGAGTCTGAAATAATTATCACATAATACATTTTTGCGATCATGTTCTTTTTCTTTTCTTTTTTTACATCCGTTATTAGAAAGTGGCAAAGCGGAACAGTAAAGTAACCCAACACATTTTCTAGTGGGACTCCTTTAGGCGGAACACAACAGTATCGTACCACACGGATATGCACGTTTTTTTCTATTCAGAAGTTGGAAGAAATTCGGCGTGAATAATATCGTTAAAGCAAGAGGAAGGAAATAAAGAGAGTTGAGCAAAATGTTTAATATGTTGTATTTGTAACATAGTTAACCATTAAATGCATTACAGAAGTGTAACGTTAGATCAGCTAACGTTAACCTGGCCGTTTGTTACTTTCTTTGTGAATTAATTAATGAATTGGCTTGAATCCTGGGCTATTTATTCCTTTGCATTGTTTTTGGTTTAGTTTTGTAGCAAATTCTAACAGTCAGACATCGAACATATATGGCAATATGAAAAAGGATATAATATTTGATCAAAAACGCATGGTGCTGAGTGCTTTTACTTAAACCACACTCAGTAAACGCATTGTAACTTTAAAAGGTTAGACATGAAAGCTAGCTACCTAGCACGTCAGTTATTTTCAGTGAAGGAATTAATAAGCTTGGTCTCCATTGCTTTTGCTCTATAGTTCTCACCAACATGAAGAGAAAAAAGTACATAATGTCCTTCTTCCAAAGAAAAGACAAGGCAGAAAGTCAGACAGAGCCAGGGGGTTCAGGTGTGGAGAGAGCAAGAGCAAGCAGAGAGAGCTGGAAGACTTGTCCATTGGAGAGACTGAAAGTGAAGGCATAGTAGAGCAGGAAAGTGAGACAGATGGAGAGACTGAGGCTGATGGGGATGTAGAGGCTGAGAGTGAGACACCACCAGAGGAACCATGTGCGCCCACAAGCAGTGGACCATCAGGTTTGTGATGTTGAATAAATCTGTGGTCACTTGTAAAGCAGTGCAATTAGTCAGTTTATATGGTGTATAGAAATGTGTCGGTTTATGATTGAAATGAATGATCTCATTTAACATGCTATTGGGCTTGTGATATAGATATGATGGATTTTAGAAGTTGTCTGATGGCTATGGTATGTGTCTAAAATTACCTAAATAGATACTTAATTATAGATTTTTTTTCTTCGACAGATATCAGCAAATCCCGGGAGGACCCGCCAGTGATGAACATGTACCCAATAACTCTGATGGGGCACAGGAGGAGGAGCTTCAAGGCGGCCTGGTACCACGTCCACCCCTGGCTTGAATATTCAATAAAATCAGACTGTGTTTTGTTATGCCTGTAGGCATTTTAGCCCTCCCAAAGTCTCAGAGACTGTATTTCTTTCAAAATTGGGTTTTAACAATTGGAAGAAGGCAACTTACAAAGAGGGGGGATTTGCAATTCATGCAAGGTCTGAGCGGCACAAACAAGCAATGATTACATGGAGAGACTATCAGAAAGCTGTAAAAAGTAATGCAACACTGGTAAATGCCCTAAACAAGGAACACAACAAACAGGTTCAAGAAAATCGGGACTATATTAAAAAAATTGATGTACTACTACTTACAGCCACACAAAACATTGCACAAAGAGGACACGATGAGTCTGCAGAGTCTGATAATAAAGGGAACTTCATGGCAATCCTAGAAACAATAGCGAAGCATGACACAACTGGAACAAAAGGTTGACTTCCATTCATAATGCAAAATACACAAGCAAAGGGATTCAGAATGAGGTTCTGAGTTGTTTGGCAGACATGGTTCGAACAAAAAATAAATAATATGCCATTTAGCAGACACTTTTATCTAAAGCGACTTACAGTCATGTGCGCATACATTTTTACGTATGGGTGGTCCCGGGGATCGAACCCACTACCCTGGCATTACAAGCGTCATGCTCTACCAATTGAGCTACTTCTTCTTATAGAAGAAGTGAAAGACGGTGAGGTCTTTAGTAAAATATGTTTTTTTTTAAAGGAGCACATATCTCTAGTACTCAGGTACTATTTCAGTGGAGCTGTCCATGAGAGCTTTCTCCACTTTGAATCAGCTGATCGACTAGATACAGCCGGGCTTACTGAAAAATCATACACATATTAGAAAGTCATGGTCTTGAATACAAAAACAACCTAGTAGGCCAAGCATATGACAGTGCTTCAGTTATGAGTGGCAGCATTCAGGCGTCCAGGCAACGCATTAAAGAACAAAAACAGCATGCGTTTTGCATCCACTGCAGTGCACACTGTCTAAACTTAGTTTTAGTGGATACAGTCAAAGCTGTCCCTTAAGTAGGACAGTTCTTCTCCTTACTAGAAAGACTGTATGTCTTCTCATCTGGGTCATATGTGCATCAAAAATGGCTTAGCGTACAAAGGGAGACATACCCAGGTGCACCTAGAGAGCTTCAGAGACTAAGTGACACTTGCTGGGCATGTCGATATATGGCTCTACATACTATTATGGATAGATTGCCTGCCATTAAGTGAGTCCTGCAAGACATAGTCCAAGAACACAACGGTGACAGATCTGTTGAGGCACGAGGTCTGCTTGCACAGATAGATTTACAATTCATTGTGTTCCTTGTTACACTCCATAAAGTTTTTGGAGAAGCAACATTTCTATCAGATATGCTACAGTCTTCATCACTTGACCTGTCAAAGGCTGTTGATTTAGTTGAAGCCTTAGTTCAAACTTTGAATGACTACAGGGATGAGTCATTTTTTGATGACCTATGGAATGAAGTGTTGAACACAGCTGTGCAATGTGATACTGCAATACAGCCCCCTGCAAAACCACCAATAAAGCTCTCAATTTAATGGAGACCGTGTACTCAGTACAGTAGGTCAGAGGTCAGATTCAGAAATAGATAATGAGTTTTCGTACAACCTTATTCTACCCTGTCTAAGATCAGATGCTCAATGAGCTTAACAGACTGTTCTATAGCAAAAACTGACTTAATGAATGGCATCCAAACTCTAAACCCCCAAAAGTGATGCATTTCTCAAAGAGAAGTCCCTGTTTCCATTTGCTACAATGTATGAATCAAATATTGAGGACATGGGGCATGAACTACATCAGTTCAGAAGAATTTTACAAAGAAAAATACAGAGTGGCATGCAGAGACCCTCCAGTGTAGTAGAGCATTATTCATTGAGCCTTATAAATACGTTTTCTTTGAGCTCTTTAAACTGCAAAATAACTGTTTCAATCCCTGTTAGTACCGCTTCTTGTGAACAGAGTTTTTCTGCACTAAAAATTGTGAAAATGTATCTTAGGTCCACAATGTCAGATGAGAGATTAAGCAATTTAGGTGCATTAAGTATTGCGTCAAGGAGGGCAAAGGCCTTGAATCTAGATGAATTTGCTGATCTTTTTGCAAGAAACCACAAAAAACGTAAAGGCAGTTGATGTAGCTGATACTGAATATGTAATGGAAATGCAAATAATAAATAGTTGAATGATTATAAACATGGTCTTTTGCCTATTAATGCCTGCAATGCAGTGAAGAAAACGATATGACAACAACAATGTCTAATGTAACTGGCCCCTCTAACAGTACAACTGTATTTTAACATTTTTGAAAATACAAAAAACTATTTTGTATTTTATTTTGATACATTTGTTTTTTAGAGTATCTTGTATTTGTAACAAGATATATATTTTGCCCATCTCTGCCCCCCCCCCCCCCCTCCTTAACCCTCACCCATCCCCTAGTGAAGTATCAACCCTGCACTAGTCAAGCGTCACCCCTCCTTCTCAACCCTCACCCCTGCATTGGTCAGGTATCACCCCTCTGCCTCACCTCTCTCATCCGTACATCAGTCAGTTCTCACCCTTGCACACCACATTCTTTATTTTTAAAACACAATGAGCATGTTTATTGGCCAAAATACAAATCCAAAGAGCCAGCTAGCAATGATAATTTATCATCATGATGATTCAATTAATTTCAAAGATTCTAGCAACAATAGCTTAGGGAAATTATATGTTTAAATACACAAACTAGAGGACTTCACTTGCTAGCTAGATATGTTATTTTATTAACAGGCTAGCTAGCACACAAACTATACTGAACAAAAATATATAAACACAACATGCAACAATTGAGTTACAGTTCATAATAAGGAAATCAAGTAAATTGAAATAAATGCATTATGCCCTAATCTATGGATTTCACATGACGACACTGACGACCCCACAGGTGAAGAAGCCGGATGTGGAGGTCCTGGGCTGGCGTGGTTACATGTGGTCTGCGGTTGTGAGACCGGTTGGACGTACTGCCAAATTCTCTAAAATGACTTTTGAGGCGGTTTATGGTTGAGAAATTAACACTAAATTCTCTGGCAACAGCTCTGGTGGAAATTCCTGCAGTCAGCATACCAATTGCACACTCTCTCAAAACTTGAGACATCTGTGGCATTGTGTTGTGTGACAAAACTGCACATTTTAGAGTGACCTTTTATTGTCCCCAGCACAATGTGCACCTGTGTAATGATTATGCTGTTTAATCAGCTTCTTGATATGCCACACCTGTCAG